AATAATTATGCACACCTGATATAGGGTGTTGATGTCATTAGACCACACCCCTTCTCATTACAGAGATGCACATCACCTAATGTGCTTAATTGGTAGTAGGCTTTCAAGCTATACAGCTTGGAATAAGACAACATGCATGAAGAGGATGATGTGGACAAAATACTCATTTGCCTAATAATTCTGCACTCCCTGTATGACCTTGACCTAAACTAGCTGTTCACTGGTGTTTCATCTGTTTCATGTATGAACCCATGAAGTCCTGCATGCTGTGGTTTAAAGGTGAAGGAAATGCACAGCAAGGATGTGAGCCGGAGTTGTTTTTGGTGTTTGTTTGTTTTTTTGGTTTTTGTTTTTTTTGTTTTTTTTTAAAGGAGAAACCAAGATATCCATATAAGTGAAATAAAATCCACAGTAAAGGGCAGGGTCTATTCCTTTATCAAGGAGAAAAACTGCGATGTACAGTTGAAATGAAGACATCATTAAGACATCTCAGGGGTTAAATATGCAGCAAAACTTCTTTACATGGGCAGAAAGGGCAGTCTTCAGTAGTCCAGGCCACTTCAGCTCATGTTGCCCATGATGTCAAATTGACATCCTTTATGTAGTTTGTGTACATGATCTAGTCATATTTGGAGATCAGGCCAGCAGTTAATGGATTTTTAAAAACATTTTAAAACGTATCCTCTCTAAAGAAAAACCCATGTGTGAACAGAGAAGGTGTATATCTATCATGGAAACTGAATTTGGACGCAGGCTGTAAAGCAGTCTGATAACGGGGAGCTCACACTCCTGGTAGAACATGAGGAGTGCGTTTTATGCCGTTTACCTGCTGATCGTTTTTTAATGTTGTTCTCTAAGCATTAATTATAAACCATCTGTGTGTTGGCATCCAAAAAGCATTGAAACTCTCTATAGCTGCTGCTCAGCCATTGTTCATTACAGCAGGCATGTTTTTGTTTTGTTTTTTTAATTAATTTACTGCAGGCCTGTTTTCAGTCTGGATTCCTGCGCACAGGCATGACGTGACACAGCAGAATTCAGTTCACAGGAACAATGTTTCCCTCTGAGAGTTGATCCGATGCCAAGTTTAGTCCAACAGCTTCTGTTTTCTGCCCTCTCCGATCGCTGCAAGCTGTGACTTTGTCCGCCCCTCAGACTATCCACAAACCATTTCAGTTTTACTGGATCTGTATTCTTTTATTTCAGTGTTTTGATTAGCAATTGAAAGTGAAATTGTGTTTGCTGACTCGTCCGGTGCTGAATAAACACTCCTGCTGGCCGGCTCAGTGAAATGCGTCTCTTTGTTTGGACAGCAGAGTCGTTTATCTGCTCTCAGAGGGCGTTGCAGCTCTGCCGAGTGGTCGTGTGGGTGAGGACGGGATGCCCGTGTGACAAATTGCATAAGTAGCGCTCTTATGGTCCGAGTGCGAATAGATTTCCTTGCTGGTTAATTTCCAGCTCTGTGTCCAGGCTCCATTAGAGTTATTGATGTGCAGCGTTCTCCTCTGCTGTAAGGGTTATTATAAGAAGATGATGATCCAATTTCAGTGTCACACACTCAGCAGCTTCTGTGAGCATTGAGATGTCTTAACCATGAAGTCACTCAGCTGCGTTAGCCACCATTTTCTCAAACCGTTTGCTCTTTCTCTTGCAGTTAAAACTTGAAGATCGATCGATCGTCATCAGAGACTTCGTGCGAAGAAACAACTCTAATGTGAGTGCGGCCCTCCGCCTGTTTGGAACTCTTTCACCTTCTCTCTGTCTGCGCCGCTCTCTCGTTTTCCCTCTGACAGTCACGTCACTGTTCATCACTCTGTTTCATTTGCTGCATCAGGCATGACCTGAATATTACTGCAGGTCTGCTCGTGTAGAGGACTGAAAGGAGACTCTTACCTCGTGTAACACGCAGTCTGAATACAAATGAAACATTAAGCTCTGAGGTTTTCTTCACAGTGCGAGGTCTTGTGCATGCAAAAAACTCCTAAAAGGTCTGAGGTGCTAACAGGCTGATGTGCGTCTCTGTTGTGTTTCAGGATAACCAGTGTGGCTCCGTGACCAACATGAACATCGAGTGTGCAGTGAAATTAGTTGGAACCAACTGCGTTCTGTATCCAGTCAACAGCAAAGACCTGCAGCACATCTGGGTAAGAAGATGAGCCGAAAGACCAGATTTACTAAGATTCAGTTCAGCGTGAGAACCTCTGCCCTGCTTTGCTTTAAGCTAAATTAGTTTCTCTGCTTTGCTTTCTTTTAACGTTTGTGGATGTTTGACGTGAGGAGAATTCAACTTAAGCACTCAGTGACACATTCTTGCCTTAAACAGTCCTATATAAATAATCTATACTTTACTCAAGTTAACTGCTTTTCTTACTGCAAGCAAAGGCTTCTAATAACAGGGAAGGTGGTCCTGGTCAGAACAACTTTCCTAAATTGACCTCTAGAGACTCTGTAGCTTCATATGGGGACATTGCATTTTGGCTTTTCTGCACTTT